ATGGGCTTTTCAAGACTTGAACTTGTGACCTTGAAATTCCAAATGTGTGTTCTAATCACGAGGCCACTAGCAATCAATGTAACCTCAATGAAGTCTTTAGTTCTTATAATAATTTAAGTGGATTACATACACACTCTTTTATATGTGGATTCACCACTGCTAAGAAAGATGTCATTTCATTTGCGGTTTTGTGCACATTTGACCTCCCTTTACCTTGCTATAGATGGAGGCATAATGAAGGTGTGGGAACAATGTGCAGCTTGCTTATTGTTCTGTTTTCTGAGTTTATTATATGATCAGAAAACTTTGATGTGAAATTAATGTGTAAGAGACACAAGTACGTTTAATTCTTTCTTCTAGTAATTTGGGTTCAATATTGTCCAGGCTGTTGCGGCTGCAAGATTAGTTGGAGGAGAGTACCCTGAACGTCCTGGTGAACCTATATGCCAGGTGAGATGTTAGTATGTTACTTTATATTCAATGTTTTCAGTTACGGAGTTTCTTAATGCTTTATGCAAATAATATATTAGTACTATTTCCCCTCGTGCAGTATTATCTAAAGACTGGAACTTGTAAATTTGGCACTACTTGCAAGTTTAATCATCCACGAAATGCTGGTGGATCATTGACTAATGCGCCACTAAATATCCATGGTTACCCACTACGACCGGTTTGTACTTATCCGTTCTGCTTGCATTCAAATTGTATTCATGTGTTTACTTCTTCTAGTCTTCTTTTACAATGTTGAAAAGTAGCACTTATGATGTGTTTCTATTCTCGATAGGGTGAGAAAGAATGCTCCTATTATTTGAAAACGGGGCAGTGCAAATTTGGGATAACTTGTAAATTCCATCATCCTCAACCAGCTGGCATGTCAATGCCTGCAGCTGCACCTCCATTTTATCCGACGGTGCAGCCTCCTTCAGTTCCTATACCTGAACCAGCAGCTGGGTCATCCCCTAGCTATAGGGTAGCTAGGCCTCCTCTTGTACCTGGTTCTTATGTTCCAGGGTCTTATGGTCCTGTGCTTCTTTCTCCTGGAGTTGTTCCCATGCCAGGCTGGGGTTCTTATTCGGTAAGTCTTTAATATTGTCTAGTAGCATGAGTTACTGGGAAGCAGTTAATAAACTCTTGGCCTCTTGGGTGATCCATCGGCTTAATTGCTGCAGGGGCCTGTAAGTCCCGTTTTATCGCCTGGTGGTCAACCTGCTGCTGGAGGAGCTTCTGTATATGGAGTGACCACACTATCACCTTCTACACCTGGTCTAGCTGGATCTTATGCTCCTCTTCCATCTTCTGCTGGGAAGTCAGTCACAGAACATAAGTTTCCAGAGAGACCAGGTGAACCTGAGTGTCAATACTATTTGAAGACTGGGAGTTGTAAATTTGGTGCCTCTTGTAGATATCATCATCCACCAGACCGGGGTGCGTCTGCTGCAGCCTGTTTCCTTGGGCCTCTGGGTCTGCCCCTACGTCCGGTAAGCTTGATCTTGAGCTACTTTTATATCTGTTAATTATTTCTGTTTTAGGGAGTATAATGATTCTTTCTAGTCCCTTTTTAATTGTTATGTACATTGTTGATTTTGATGCTTAACACCTGATAAATTTAAGGACTAAATATTCATATTGATCCATGACAATAATGTTTAGTTCACAATCAACTATTTGCTATTGCAGCATGATATGATGGTTAAAATATTAAAATACTGAGCATCTTAAATTAAGGATATAGACTTTCTGGTTGCTATATTAACCTTTTCCCAAGTTTGAGAAAATAATTGCTCAGCAATTACTACGCAGCCTATATTGTCCCCCCCCCCCCCCCTCTTCTCTTTTCCTTTTAAAAAATTCAATAAAAATGGCTGTGTACCCAACATATATAACTTACTTGAATGTGCCTGGACTTGGATCATTTCATTTTAAATTTTACTGGATGTCAAACCCTCTCCTTTTGTTCATTTGATGGTCCATTTATAATTTACATCCTCCTAAAGGTTATTATGATCTTGCCATTTTTACAACTGCCTGGCATTTGAAGATGTGTCTTCCACATAATATTCTATGATGAAGTATATTGGTATTGTCAATGAATTTATATCACCCAGTCCTGCATGCAATAGAAGCTTTACAGGTGTCTCTATATCTGAAGGGACATTCTTTCCTCTTAGACAACCACAAACCATAGGTAGCTATTAGAACTTCTGTTCTTTACTCCAGTCCTGAAATGAATGTATTTTTTTATATGCCTGAAAACATCTGGGCTAGCCTACCTCACTCGTTCCAAAATTCTCAAATTAGTCTCGTCAAAAACCTCTATTATAGCATGACACGTGCATCAGGTGATATCTCTAATTGATCTTGTCATAAGTGGTCACTTGATGTTTCATTGATATTGTAATTCCTTGGCGATTGCAGTAATTATCAACAAGATGCAAACAACATCATATTGGAAATGTGGCTCTGATGTAGATGTCATGCATTTTTAGAGGATTTATGAACCTTTTATCACTAACTTTTGAGGAATTTGCTGAACTTGGATAAAATAATAATAAATTTTTTGCAAAACTAATGTATCATTTGTTCATTTGAAAAATATGTTCAATGGGGGAGTTCCTCTATGAAGTAATATTCCTTGTGAAGTTAACTCACCAGAATGTGTATCAAAGACGTGTTGGCAACATAGGAAATGCATGATCTAAGATTTTTTATTTTTATCTGCCAGCCATGTTGCTAGAACTTCATGGATTTCTAGTCAGCGACATGCCAACCCCTAGGCTTTCGTGTACAGACAATTGGTCAGCTAAATGTATCATCTTCCCCTTCCCCAGTCCACATCACTAGTCACAAGAATTTATTTGATATAAGAGTGAATGGATCACCTACCTACCCACGTGAAAGGAGTTCAGATACGGTACTTCATTGAAGTAAAAGTAGCGAAGAAAATTGTCACTCCAATTTTCTTTCATCCTATTGATCAACCTATGTTAAAAAAGTCTCACTTACAATGTACTTTCACTTCCCACATGATACTTGTTAATGGAAAAAACATGTAAAAGTTTGTTGCTGAGATGTCTCTGTTATTTGTACAAGTTTTGCTGAACGTTGCCATTATGCCATATAGTTATGTGATTACCCTGGTATGTTTGGTATGCATGCTGGGCATGATGAGTTACTCCAAAACTTCTGAGTTCATTTGTTTTAAGCACCCATGCCAGCCATGTTGCTAGAACTTCATGGATTTCTAGTCAGCGACATGCCAACCCCTAGGCTTTCGTGTACAGACAATTGGTCAGCTAAATGTATCATCTTCCCCTTCCCCAGTCCACATCACTAGTCCCAACTACACACTTGGAGACCTAAAAATGAGAAGGGAAAAAGTCCCAACTACACACTTGGAGACCTAAAAATGAGAAGGGAAAAAAAATTAATTCTGAAGCTCTAATGCTTGAAGTTAATGCAAATTTTTAAGTGAAGCTGCATACTTGCACTCTATGTGGCTTACAATTTCTGTTTGGACATGCACCATTTATTATATGTTTTTGATTCATTTTGTTTTTTTTTTTTTTAATATAATACACTTTAAGGATGACTTGTTATCTTTTATTTGAACAGGGTACACAACCTTGCACCTTCTACATGCAAAATGGATACTGCAAATTTGGGCCCACATGTAAGTTTGATCACCCTGTGGGTATGATGAAATATAGTCCATCAGCTTCATCTCTTGCTGAGACACCAATTGCGCCCTATTTGAGTGGACCTCCATTAGTTACTTTGCCTCTTTCGCCATCATCTACAGAGCTCCTTCCAGAACATGCTTTAGGGTCACAGAGGGATTTACAATCAAATAGAACACTGTCATCCGGTAGCTCTTCTGTTGGTTTAACCTCGTCTAACGTCCAACAATCTGGCCAAGGTCCTGCACTATTAAGCAGTAGCAGAAGCATAGGAGAAGACGATGAAGTTCGTCACTCAAGCTAAAGTACATTCTTGATGCCATTCTCTTTTATTGTCAAGACCTTAAAGCAGCACATACCAAGCCACCCATCCACCATTGTCTCAGTTATATAATATATATATATATCGTATATAGCTTGCAAGTCATCTATCCTAAGTGACTTCTATTGTTGTCAAGTTCAGGTAATTACAGCCCTATCGAATACCTCCCACTTTAGGACTGAAATATAATCCTTACTGTTGATAATAGCTTTCAAATATGTTCAGAACTTCAGAATGCATAATAAATTAAGGTAGCAAATAGCTTTGTGGACTCATGTCACCGCTATTTGGTAATAATTCAACGGAAGCGTGCTCTGTAGCCCTAGTTGCTATGCTTCCCTGTGAGACTACTCCTTTTGCCAGACATTGTTAGACATTCTGTAAATTTGATTACTCTTGTGAAGTTATTTTTCCATGCTAGTTGTATTTGAGCTCTAATTTTTTTCCAAGGATTTTGTGTAATATTTTGCATAAAGCGTCCTGCGTGGATACCCCAAGGTAATGCATAATTATTGGTAATGGAAAATATTAAAGAACATCATGTTCGCGAATGAATGATGCATTACTTTGGACATTATACAGTACAGCCCCATATCATATTACATTTGTACGTTGCCATCTGCTTATTCCACTTCTCTGTAGCTCTTTTTCTTTTGATTTTTTTATACTCCCATATTAATTATTGGGAAGGTTTAGTTGAAACTTTGGTTAGAATAACAAGATATTGAACTTCTCAATTTAATACGAAAAAGTACTGCATATATATGTTAGGATAGTATATGAGATTATATGATTTGCATTGCATTTATTTGTATAGTTGGTATAATATTTCTATAATCTATCTTTTTTTCATTTATTTCTTTTTAAGATATTGCTCAATTTTTTGTAAAATAAAAAATTATGAAACTAATAATGGAGATGGAGTTATATATAATGAATTCAATCGATTATTATCAGTTATTTACTGATACTCTCCTTCGTAAGAAAAAGAAAATATCAAGATGGTCAAAAAATCCTATCTATCTCTTGAATTGGCAATTCCGGAAGACATTATAATTCCCCATATCCTAATGAAACTACCCGTTAGATCACTCCTTTGTTTGAAGTGTGTTTCCAAATACTTCAAAACCCTAATATCAAGTCCGGAATTTATTAACTTTCACCTCCGTACCCTAAATTCATCGTCCGATGATGAAAAACTTTATATTCTCCAGTCATACTATCATTGTCTCTACTCTTTGGATTCAACTTCCTTATCATCTTCCTCACCTGTTGAACGACTCAAACTCCGTTATCCTCAAAAACAAGGTGGACGTAGTGTTATATACTACAAATTAATAGGATCTTGCAATGGCTTGCATTGTGTTCAATCGGATGAAGGATTTTACTTAGATTACGTTGTATTCAATCCATCTACTGGGGTTTACAAGAAAATAGGGTTTCACTTTGTGGATATAGATCTTCCGATCAATGGACTATTTTTGGTACATTCTGGATTTGGTTTCGATAATGTTAGTAACGATTACAAGATTGTTATGTTAGTATCAACATGTTGTGGTTCCAACCCGTCGTCGTGTCAAATATTTGTTTACAGCTTGATGGCCAATTCCTGGAGAGCTTTGGACATCCACTTTAACTACTATCAGAGTTTAAAGAATGACCCGGCTGCAGTGATTGATAAACATCTATTTCATTTCCTATTCAATGAAGGTGTGGTTGGTTGTTTCGACATTCAGACTGAACAATGGAGCAAATTCGAGTTGCCTACTTTCATTAATAGAGATGATAAATTATTTTGGGAGTTGGGTGTTTTCGAAGGTTGCTTGTATATAATGGTACATGATTTGGTTGCGGTAGAATTCCTCGATTTTGATACGAACTATGAAGTTTGGGTGATGAAAGAGTACAAGGTGAAAGAATCATGGAGTAAAATTACAAGCGTATGGAATCAAGAATTGTGGCCAAAGGAAAGGAAATTTATTAATGATAGTATTTCGCCTCTTAAATACTCTGACAAATTAAGAGATGACCAGATTTTGTTTTGGAATGAGTATAATTCTACGTTTATATATTACAATATCGAATCTAAATTACCAAATATAGTCGAAATCAATGGTGTGGTTTCTACTGAATCCAAAGCTTATTTTTGTCACGAAACCCTTGTTACCATTCCCGGTGGTAAACAACTTCGAGGAGTTTTGAGAAAATAACGAACGAAAAGGGAGATTGGGTATGTCTATGATCAAGCATTTTCCAATTTAACTGAGTCGTCTTATATTTTTAGTTTAGTTTTAGTATCTTGTTTTGACTTTCATTAGTAATTAGATTGATTATTACTCCTATTATTTTTCTCAAGAATCTTCATTAGTATTTTCTTTTATATCATGTTTGTTTAATTGATTGTGATTTTTTTTAAAGGAGGCTTATTTATACTGATATTGAAATTATGTAGCTTTTTTTTTTGTGCGTTGGTGATGCTCATATGGTTGATAAAAGTTTAAGATACACTTTTTGAATTCAATGTTAAATACGGTCATAAATTCTTTTTGATTATCAAAATTTTTTGTTAATTAAAACTATGTACACCTATCAACAAGAAATGTTCAACCCATGACCAAAATTTTTTGGTTTAGGTTAACCCAATGAGCTTTGAACATTTATTTTATTTAATTTAGTTTTTGCTAATTTTTTATTTTAATGTATTAAATCGAATATTTCCACCAACATTATTATTAGTCATTACATGTCTACTAGATAGCAAATCGTCACAAAAACACATCAATACCTAACTAATTAATTTTGTATCAATGATATATTTTAAATTTGATATATAAATTATATTAAAAATTTGTCTTAAAATTCAATAAATAACCCGAGCATCGCACGGGGCACAAAACTAGTTTTCTATATATTACATATTATAATTTTATCGGTTATAAAACTCTATACAACAATTTTATCTTAAAAAACCTATCCAAAAATTGCTTACTTAATTTCAAATGTGTCACAATAATACCTATTTTTTGCCTACGTGGCACGACACTTGGCGAAAAACTCTGATGCCAAATGTCGCTGTCTCGTGACTTGGCTGCGAGATCATCTTTATATATTAGTGATATGATATGATTTGACTTTTTTCCCCTTTTTTCTTTTAGTCGGTTGTGTTAATTGTAAAGTAATTACTTGGTTTCTTTTAATAATGTAGATTAATGGAAGGTAGAGTGGAAGATCTCCTTACAAATCTTTGTAAAAATAATAAAAAAAATAAAAAAAGTATCATGTCTTTTTATTTCTTTTTATTTTGCATTTGAATTGTATTATAATTCTACTAATATTGTATGCCCGGGTTGAATTTTAAAATAATTTTTTGATTCCAATACCAACTCTTTAACATATACTTTTTTATATATTTATTTTTTTTTTTAATTTTTTTTATTACATGTACTTCATTGATACAAATCATATTTTATAAGAAACATAACATTTACAATTAACACTAAGCCCGATCCATTTAACTAGTTATGTAATGTTATGTCGACCCGTTTAATTAAACGAGTCAAAAACCCTCAGACTCGCTTTTTACGTGTTCAGTTGGTGTCATGTCACTTTTGCTACCTCAAACAACATTCATTTCTGACAAATTTTCTTTGTTGTAAGGGTCTGTTCACATTTACTTAATTTCAGTTCAGTTCAGCTCCAATCAAATCAGTTCAGTTCAGTTCAACTCCAATCAGTTCAGTTCAGTTCAACTCCAATCGGTTCAGTTCAGTTCAGCTCCTAATTTTCCTTTCTCATAAAATATTAATTTCAGCTCAGTTCAGTTCAGCTCAGTTCAATAAATGTGAACAGGCCCTAACAGAGTGTTTGGATAATAATTTAGGAAGGAAAGGGAGGGTGGAGGAAAGAAGGGAAGGGAGAAAAATATCAGTTCCCCTTGTTTGGACAAGGGAGAAGAGAAAGGAAAGGTAACATGAGGCTTATTGTGTTGCAGATTTGCAGGTTTATTTACAGACTGGCAGTTATAAGCATGAGTAAATATTTAATAATAATGCAAAACCCAGCAAAATTCGATCAACAACTCAAATTTATCGGCAAATATACTGATTGAAACATCAAATTGAACAAAAAAAGGGGGAAATGATCAATCGAAAAGCAAAATTCCATCAAAATCAGACTAGAAACTCCATCAAAAAGAAGAAAAGAAGGGGAAAATGATCAATTGAAAAGCGAAATTCCATCAAAATCGAACTAGAAATCCCAACAAATACATTTTGAATTAGAAAATCTAACAAATTCGAAGTAGAAAATACAATCTATAAACCCTAGTTTCAAATTAGGGGAAATCTGAGAGAAAATCAATGGGCTAAAGTAAGGATAAATTGGTCTTTTCATGTTTTTCAGGTTTTTTGATTCATTTTCCTTCCAAATCTTTCCAATTTTGGAGAGATTTGATTCTTAAACACTGAAACAAAAAATTTCCTTCCATTCCCTCCCCTCCATTTCCCTCACCTCCACAAATTGGTATCCAAACAGTGGAAATTGCTCCCTTTGCTTTCCCTTCTCTTCTTTTCCCTCCCTTTCCATCTATCCAAACAAGCTGTAAGGCTTTGTTTAGTTCACCTTATTTTTACTTATTTCAAAAAAAAAAAGTTCATATCAGAAAAAATAAGTTCAGATCATCATTTTATGTTGTGCAGTTTTTATCGCTAAATATCTTTAATTTCATATTGAAAAAAATTTATGAAAATCACATATTAATAAAATACACATTTTTACGAATCTAACAAGACCCGCTTGATACTTTTTTTCGTATAGATTATCGTATATTTAACATCAAAGTTTGGTCAAATCTAACATTCAGATCATATCAGACCAGATCAAATCAGAATAGATCAAATAAATTCAAATAAGCAAAAATAGGTGAACCAAACAAGCCCTAAATTCCATTGAACAAAGACCAAAACACTCCTAAATTCTTCCAAGTTCCACACCATAACGACTCCTCCCATACATCAATCATAATACAATTTACAGCTCAAAGTCAGATTCTTTATCAAATATATGAACTTTCGGGTAAATTATCAACAAACAACCTGGGTATTCAATAAACAAAAATTACTAATTGAAAATTTTACATTGTTACTAGGACGACTAACGTGCACCGTCATAGCTAGCTATTAGGGGTGTCAATTCGGTTAAACAGTTCGGGTTTGGGTTGGGTTTATCAGTTTTGGGTTATAACGGGTCGGTTTATAACGGATTGAAATAATAAGCGGGTCGGTTTGGGTCGGCTTTGAAAATTATCGGGTCAGTTCGGTTTGGTTTTTTTAATTGCAGTTTCTATTCGGATCGGGTCCTTATCGGGTCGGGTTCTAGTCGGTTCGGGTCATAATCAATTTGGGTTGAACTGGGTCGGTTTGAAAACGGGTTTAGCCCATTTAATGTGGGTTTCGGTTAAAAACAGTTCGGGTCTTAATCAGGACGGGTCGTAATTGGTTCGGGTCATAATCAGTTTGGGTTTAACTGGGTCGGTTCGAAAATGGGTTTCGGTTCAAAATAGATCGGGTGAAATCGGGTCCAACCATTATTGTTTCGGTTATAATCGGTTTAGATTGAACTTAGTTGGTTTGAAAACGAGTTTACCCAATTTGAAACGGGTTTCTAATCAAAATCATATCGGGTTAAAATTGAGTCGGATGATTATCGAGTCGAATTAGTCAGATAATGGGTAGGAACGAGTCATGTTATAATCAAGTCAAGTCATAAATAAGTTGGGTTTATCGAGTAGTGGGTTGAAACAAATTAGATCATAAACATATTGGGTAACAGGTTGTAAATGACTCAGTCATAACGGGTTACGGGTTTTAAACGGTTTGGTCATAACGGGCTACGGGTCGTAAACGGTTCGGTCACAACAGGTTACGGATTATAACCGGTTCGGTCACAACGGGTTACGGGTTGGAACGATTTAGGTTTATCGGATTTTTATCGGGTTTTAACGGTTTTCGGTTTAAAACAGGTCGGGTTACTATCGAGTTTAAACGTAATCGGTTTGGGTTGCTTTCAGTTTCGGGTTGTAACGGTTTGGCTTGATAACGGGTCGGGTTAGTAACGGTTTGCACAAATTCGGTTTAGTTCAGTTTTGGTTTGGAAAAAAATTGGGTCGGGTCAGTTTTCGGTTTCCAAAAAACGGGTTTTAAACAGTTCAGTTTCTTTTCGGATCGGTTCGAAACAGTCGGGTTTAACGGTTCGGGTCAGAAACTGACAGCTCTACTAGCTATGTATGAGGAACTTTTTTTATTTGATCTCATATCACAAATTTAGTTATTGGCAATAATATTTATGTGAATAAACATGTAAACAAATTTTCAGGGGTATATATGTTGGCACAATATTATTAAAAGTTAAAAAATAGAGACAAGTAATATTGAGGAGGATAATAAGTAAATTAACATTTTAAAGTATATTATAAGATAAAGATAACCGATTCAAGACTAAGGGGTGCTTTAAACTTGAAGAAAGAACAATAAAATCGGTCTGGGTACGAAATATATAACATAGATAAGTAGATCGTGATCCGTGAACGTCGGGCAAAAAATATGCAAATAGGTCTAAAGACCTAATGCTTGATCTGTGCACCAGGGCAAAAATTATGCAAATAGGTCTAAAAATCTTGTGTAACGAGTCTAATATTATGATTCTATCAACTATCACACCAAACTCATAGTAAGTACATTAATCAACCAATACTTTACAACCCACAAACTCATGCATGCTTCATAAAAAGAAATATTGGACCACATTATAGTTTACGTGAGCTAAGTAATTATACGAATTATAAGTAGCTTAGTTCATATAATTAAGAAGAGATTATAAGATTATAGTATGGTTGTTGCTAATCTATACATAATTGTACTCAATCAAGTATAAATCTATACTCACATTCCTAATATCATTTCACTGACAAAGTAAGATACACAATAATACTATCAATATGCACCTAAAAATGGTCCCCTCCAATGGCACAAGGTTATCCATTAACATTAGCTGCCTTAATCAACATTAAATTAACATATACAAAGCATTTTTTTACCAAAGAAAATTATATATACCGACCATATAATAAAAAAAAAGTGATATTGATGAAAACATCATTACATACACTTGTTAAGTCATGATTTCAACCATGTAACACAATAAAAAGTGAAAT